CCGCCAGCCCCTGGGGAGGCGATTCTGCCCGAGACGAGTACTCCCAAGGCCGACAAGATGCAGTCTGGTGATTAGGGCAGACACAGCCCCAGCGCTGGCTCAGAAGCTCTTCACGCAGGAAGGCACCTTGAAGGCTTTCCTGGTGACAAGATTCCTCACCCCTGGTTAAGGCACAAGCCCGCCAAGACCAGGTGGGCTTCCTGAACCCCCTCCTGAGGAAGCGTGTGGCCGTGGCAAGTTACTGCTCTCCTGGGTCTCAGTCCCCACATCAGGAACTGGTAAGCGCCTGCCTCCCTGAGTGGTCATGAGGGTCAAGTCTGAAAAGTTGTCAGCAGAGAGTGGGACTTTGTCATGGGGCCGTTTGACCTCAGCCAAAAACTAATCAACAAACCTTCAAGTCAATGCCCCATGCCCAACAGGGACCTCCTTGCTCACCCCGGACCCCCGGGCCCTCCAGGGCTTGGCGAGAGGTCAGAACTATGCGAGGCTCTATAATGGGCTTAGGGGCTGAGTGACAAAGAGATAGCGGAGCACACTGCTGGAGGCTGCCAATCGAAGCTTCACCTTCCAAACCATGAAGACTGCGTTAGGCTTCGTACGTTGATGGTAGCCCCCATCACCAGCGTTCGGTCCCACCGGGTCACTGAGGACCAGTTTGCACCTCTGCACCAGGTCCTCGCCCATTCGGCCCCGGGGCAGACTCAGGGGCTGGGCAGCCCACCTGGACTTCTCCCCATCACACCAGCTTGCTGGGGCCACGGAAGGTCAGGAGGGGAGAGGCCACTCACGTTGCCTGGCTGGGTGGAGGAAGGTGGCAGCGAGGCTCTTCCAGCCTGTTTCCACCTGCCCAGAGCCCTGCTCACAGTTCCAGCTAGGTGGCTTCTTCCAGAGTGCAGACTTCCTGGAGTCAGGCTCCCATCTGTGAACCAAGTCCCTTGGATGAGTGAGCTTCCTCGGGCGGGCAATGGTGGGCCACTTTGTCCAAGCTCAGAGCTGCTGGGGCGGGAGGGGTGCAGGCTGAGTGGGAAGGGTAGGCACTGGAGGGGGAATGGAAAATCTGCTGGACTCTGTCCGGTTGTGGACACTAGGGCCAGAGGTAGAGAATGAGCCAGGAGGTAGAGAGAGGGAAAGAGACAAGGCAGGGCCGGCTCCTGATGGGTCTTGCAGACCACATTATGGATGTGGACCTTCATCCCAAGAGCGGTGGGACACTATTGCAGGATTTCTCATTAGAGACTGTGGTCATCACCCTCCATCATCACCATCATGGTGGCCCGCACGGGTCCAGTGCCAACTCTCTACCAGGCACTGTGCTAAAACACTTTCTATGTGAATCCTGTTAACAGTTCTATGGGGTAGATACCATTATTGTCCCCATTTCACAGATGAGAACATGGAGACGCAGAAGCGGTAAGTGAGATGTTCAAGACCACACGACAAATAAGAGCCCTGGCCAGAACCGGAACTGGAATCCAGATCTGCCTGATTCCAAAGCCTTAGCTCCTAAACACTGGTCTTTGGGTTTATAGCCCCTCTACAATTGTATTTGCCTTAAAACACATCATTGGCTGCAGAGTGGAGAATAAGAATTAGCAGACGGTAGTGGTCAGAATCAGAGATGGGAACAGCAATAAGAGATGGAGGTTAGACAAGGGAAGAAGGAGATAGGTCCAGGAAACCCTTAGGTGGAATCTAAAAGAGGTGCTGATCCACTGGGTAGAAGGAATAAAGGAGAGGGTGCATTTACCGATGAGCCTCACGTATCTGGCCCGGGTGGCTGGAGGTGTAGACAGAGTAGTGCCATTTCTGTAGGCACAGAATACAAGTTTTCTTTAATGAATGAGCGAATGAATGAATACATGAATAATGAAAAGTTCCCCCAAATGAAGTGGATAATGAGTTCCCATTCACTGGGATTATGCAAGCAGTGGCTAGACAACTATTTACCCTAGACATTGTGGAAGACACTCCTGATCTAAAGAGGAGGTCACAGGGAGGGTACTCAACAAATGTATTGCATGCCTGAGTGATTGACTCGCTGTCATCCCTATGCTTCTAGGTCCTCATGGGGTCCCACCGGCACCTGATGAAAGCCTGGTGATGAGTTACCACCGTAGGGATGTAGGAGGGGGAAAGTATCAAACCCTATTGAACATTCTTACACTTCTGATTCAGTATATTTTAGAGCCTACATTTTAATACATATTAGTAAGTTTACATATTGGGTATGTATAATCAAAATTCCTTTACTTAGAGGGATACACAATCATAGAAGCTTGGACACCACTGTTCTGTAGGACAGAAGCCCTAAAATAGGTTGAGTGGAAATAATGACCCTTCCCCTCCCCCTCAAGGCTTCTGACTGCCTATTGCACTGTCCTCACAACACTCAGGGGTTCCAGAGTTAGAACAAAGGAAAAAACTCTGCAAAAAACTCCTCATCCATTTATTAAGCTGTATGGAAAAGACACATGTTTACACATTTCATCCATTTCTCATTGTGAAATGCGCCTTCTTTACAATGTAACAGCTCTTTGGGTCTTTCACGGGACAGATGTTCTTTCTCACAGTGTCGAAACAACCCATAGGGCGGCTGCCCTGTCACAGACTGCTCCTCAGACCACGAGATGACCCCTAAGTGATCATTAGGGTCCCAGAGCTGTGACTCGGCTCTGCTCAGAGAAGACCTTTAGACCATCACAGGCCGGCTGATGGATGAGTGCTACACATTTGCAAAGCACAGCCTCCTCTTTATTCCGCAATATGTGCACCTGTGTAACTTCATTCAAATTCTAAACCGTTGCTACTTCTTATTCAACTCTTTTTCTCCAGCTACGAGTGTGTATGTTTACTGGGACAGAGGGCTGTGTGTGGTAGGGGAACAAAGCCTGGGAATCTTTTTTGATCCTTTTTGTTTTGAAATCTAGAGCTGGCTTGATGAGGGTTTATGGGCTGTTTGCCATCCAAAATTTCCCGGTCCTTTTTGGGTTTCCATCTTCTCCAGAGAGAGCCTGCTAAGAAGTATCCATTTATTTTACCGAGCGAATGAGCGCTGCCCGGGTGCTGCGTACCTTACGAGCTCCACTGCTACTGAGCTGGCCCCTCCCTGCCTTGGTTCTCTGCCGCTTGATGTCAGACCCTGGGTGGTGCATTCTCCACACTCCCCATGGGGCTTGGCCCGGGGCTGGCCCCAGGAGGCAGACTGTGAAACTGTGGGAAAAAAGAAATGAATCCTCCTTGGAGGAGCTGAGGCTTGGGGTTAGGGATGTCTCTTAAGGCTCCGGCCAAGGATGGGGTCTAGCTTCCTGCCGCCTGACACCTGGGACCCGCCCCGCCCCACGCATCGCTCCGCCCACCGCTGCCCCGCCCAGCGAAGGCAGAGCCCCGCCCCCCTGCAGTGCCGGCGGCTGTCCTCTTGGGGGAGGGGCGTTCTCCCTTCTCTGTTCAGCAATGTACCGGTTGTTCTGGTGCTCCTCATGTGGGTACCGCCCCAGGGCTTCCTCACCTTCACACCTGCCCGGACCTAGCCAGCCCTCCTGACCCAGGGCTGCTGCCGGCACCCATGAGCCGCTCAGCCCTCCAGGGGAGCTTGGTCCCAGCACCAGTGCTTTGGGGTCAGTGACCTTCGTGCCAAATCATTGGTCTGCCGCTATTATAAACCACTGGTTGGTGCCCTTGGTTGCTGAGACAGGGACAACGGTAGGCAGGCCTAGACTCCTCCCGACTACTGCCCACCCCCAGTGAGGGTCTGAGCATGTGGATTCCCTGAGTAAGTTCAATCAGAAATCTCTTGGGCTCATTACAAATCAAACCCTGAATGGGTGGCCTGCCCCCAAAATGCTTTGTGTGTGTGTGTGTGTGTGTGTGTGTGTGTGTGTGTGTGTGTGTTGGGGTGGGGGTGGGAAGTACAGAGTATGGGAAGGAATGGTGGAAGGCAGTTAACATTACTGAGCACCTACTATGTGGCAGACACGGATGGGTGCTTTACACAGTCATTAGCGACAAAGCTGTGTCGTTACAGTAAATTTACTTCTGTTCTGTGTGCATAATAAAGCCACACATTTATATAGCACCTTTCCTTCAAAGTACTTCTATGCCTTTGCCTCTCAATCTTCACAACAGCCTGGTGTTACAGAGGAGGAAACAGGCAGGGATAAAGCAATGTGCCACGGGTTAAGGGCCGGCCCACGGCAGGCTCCTCGCCCCTCACCTCTGCACCGCCCCCAGTGCCTTGCTTGACCATGTCTGGTTGCAGAACAGCCTTCTGGTGGTTGCCAGTACCCAATCATCCCCGTTCAAGCTTGCAAGTTCCTTCAAGGCAGAGATTATACTCTCTTTTTCTTCCCTCTTGCCCATGGTGCTCAGGGCTGTGTAAACAGCAAGTGCCAGCCAAGTGCTTACCGAGTTCTTTTTTGGCACAGACCATCTTGTCCATGGGCCTGGGAAGTGAGGGAGTCCTGGTCTTTGGGTTCTTACCAGGGATCCCTCAGAGTTAAACCTTCATTAATCTCATGAATCATCCTCCAGAGTCCCAGCTGGGTAGATTTAAGAGACCTGAGGCAAAACCCCAGCCAGGTCCCCGCATGCACTCAGCTGGGGCACCAGAGTTGGGGTGGCCGTTCTCCCAGAGGTCTGAGCCGGCACGCTGCGGCAGGGCGGGACACCACGTGGGAGGGAAGCTCAGTCACTCCTGTCCCTGTCCCCAGGCCCCTCCACTCCCGGGAGGATGCAGACTGGTCCAGGGGTGGCAGCAGATGAGAACAATAATACTGTCGTGGGTATGGAGCCCTCGGCTGTGCGTGAGGTCACCCCATCCTCACGGCCTGGCTCACTGCAGCTTGGGCAGGGCAGCAGTGATGCTCCTGGGTTTTCCCAGAGACGCCGACTTATTGCCCGAGGTCACACCCATGGCATGGCTTCCATTCCTTCCTGGGCACATCCTGAAGCGCCACTGTCCCTCCTGCTCGGCACACAGGAGCAGGGGCCCAGGGGGCACCCCCTCACTGGCTGTTGCCCACCCACTCTGGCAGTTTGTGGATCTGGCGCTCCACGGAGATGGAGGTCCGGAGTGTGCCCATGGAGTTCTCCATCTTGCTGGACTCCAGCACGCAGCCCCCTTTCTGGCACAGTCCCTGTAACACTTCCCGGGACTTCTTGCGGAAGCGCTTGCCCACGATCACGTACACCAGTGGGTTGAGGCAGCTGTTACTGTAGGCCAAGTAAGAGGCGATCTGCGTGAAGACGTCGATCACGTGCTCGTCCCAGCAGCTGGACAGGATGTCAAGGCGCAGCAGCGTGTCCAGGACGGTGCTGATCTGGAAGGGCAGCCAGCAGAGGACAAACAGCCCAAGCACCACTAGGACCAGCACCGTGGCCTTCCTCTCCGTCTGGATCTCCTTGAACTTCTGCATCTCATTGTTCCGCAGCACCTGCATGATCTGCACTGTGCAGAAGGTGATGATGGTCAGGGGCAACAGGAAGCCCACCAAGTTCAGGAGGATGTTGGTGAACACTTCCCAGGTGCGGGACGGGTAGATGATGATGCAGGCAGTGACATTGTGGCCCTCCTCTCTGTACTCCTTCATGGTCCGGAAGGCCAGCATGGGCGAACTCAGGAGCAGCGTGCACCCCCAGATCACCAGGCTGTAGAGCTTGGCCCAGCGCACCCTGCGCATCCAGCCCATGGACATGGTCTTCACCAGGGCCAGGTAGCGGTCGACACTCACCAGCATCAGGAAGCAGATGCTGCTGTAGAGATTCATGTAGAGCATGGTGTTCACCACACGGCAGAGAACCTCCCCAAAAACCCAGTCGAAGTTGTTGGCGATGGTGATGGCCCAGAAGGGCAGCCCGCAGGCCAGGATCAGGTCCGCCATGGCCAGGTTGCCCAGGTAGATCTCGGCCACTGTGCAGCTACTCTTGTGCAGGCAGAAGATGCTGAGGACGAAGGTGTTCTCCAGGGCTGCCAGGACGAACAGGACCCAGAGGAAGGGGGCCTGGATGGTGTTGAGCCAGTTCCACCAGTCGGAGTAGACGCAGGTGTTGGGCACGGTCCCGTTGAGGGTGGGCATGAGGACTTGTGAGGTGACGTTGAGCATTTCCGTGCTGAAAGAAAGTGGAAAAGAGGCTGTTACACCTCAAGTCACAAGAGGCAGGAGAAATAGCTGGTGCAGAAGGAGGGGGGCGATTAGCAGGCAGCTTCCAGAAGCGAGGTCAGGAGTGGCACTCAGGCCCTTTCTGCCGCACGCTCAGAGACTTGGGTCCGGGCACCCCGAACTCCCCGGGGTCTTTGAGAGGTACCCCGGCTCCTTGAGCTAGGCCGAGAGCTCATGGTCTTTGCCTCGTGGCTCCCCTGGGATGTTTCCTTGGCCGGCGTCCATCACCAGTACTGGCAATCACAGTCTTGGACCCTGGACCTCCTCGAAGCTTCTGTGATGGGAGGATACGTGCACATTCCTCATTCCTTCCTTATCGCACGGGCCCCTCCCAAGGGAGCTGGTCATCTTTCAGCCTCTCATGGCCTGGTCATGGTGACTAATTGATTAGAGGGGAAGAATAATATCATGCCAGACAAGGAGATTCCAGCCTGGCTCTGAGACCATAGCCCATCTGCCCACACCCTGTCTCCTTCTGGCAGAAGGCAGCATTGTGCTTCCAGAACCCTCATCAGCAAAGTATTGATGATAATCAGAGGTTGCATGATGGGAAGGGGGGGGCAGGGGCTTTGGAACCCGGCAGTCCTCCTGAGTTCAAATCCCGGCTCATTCATTAGCTGTGTGACCTTGGGTAAGTTAATGAACTTCTCTGAACCTCAATGACCTACCTTGTAAAATGGAAATAACAAAATCTACTTCTCAGGGTTGTGGTGGGAATCCAAGGCAGTGTGCAAAAAGCCCTAACCTCTGCACTTGGTTCAATAAGCATGAATAATTATCTATTTTTGTGCTTATTAAACTACCAACAACACTCTGCTTGCTCCTGTGTTAGTGATGTTATCATTAACCCACTGATTCCTCTTTCACTCTTGGGTGAGACTCAGACCATGGGGCAGTTGATTTTTCTAGAAGTGTCGCTGTTAAGGCTAATTCATCTCTACCCTCAGCAAAGAGGCATGGGGCTTGGACACATATGGGTTCCAATCCTAGATGTGCGGTCTTGGGCAAATTGCCTGACCTCTCTGAGCTTCCATTCTGTTTCCTTTGGTGTAGAGTATTACTCTCTTCTTGACTTGCTTTGCATGGCCGTTGCAAGGTTCAAATCAAAGGGTGGGTATGAAGATACATTGAAAGCAGAAAGCACAACCCAGAGGGCAGGCCTGGGTAGACATTTTCCTAGTGCCCTGTGGGCTGGGGGAGGGTAGGTGGCGCTAAAGGGGCTCTTTTTGGGAGGGCGATTCCTTCCTGGGTAGGCTCATGGGGAGGAGTTGAGCCACAGTTCATGGGAAAGGATCTGCTGTTCACCTCTGGGATTTCCTAGGAAAAACCCCCTCTACTTCCAGGAGTAGCTGGTTGGTTTTCAGTGGCCAGACTGGGCACCTGTGACTAACTTATTCATCAATGCATTTATCCTTTAAGTGTGCCTCGAGCTTCTTCTCTGTGCTGAGCTCCATGTGGCTGTAGGGACCCAGAGGCGAGTACTGCGTGTCCCCTGCCCTGCCCAAGCTCCCAAGTGTGATGAATACCATGAGGTGGAAGGAAGGGCATGGGGCACAGAATTGGGGGGTGGGTGGAGAAGGTTGGAGGTGACTCTGGAGCTGGGTCTCCAAGGAAGAGGAACATGTCAATGGAGAGCAAGAAGGAACAATGTTATACGGTGACAGATGGTGACTACACTTGCGGTGAGCACAGCGTAATGTATAGAGAAGTTGGATCACTGTGTTTTACACCTGAAACCAAGGTAGCATTGTGTGTCAACTGTACTCAAACAAGAAAATTAAAAAAATACAACAAACAAACACAACAACAAAAACAAAGGAGAGGGGACAGACCAGGCAGAGGGAGCAGCCTGAGCGGAGGTGCAGAGTGGAGAAGCCTCTGGCACGTTCTGGAAGGCGGACTAGATGTTGGACAGGGAGGCGGGAAGTGGCAGGAGATGGGATGAATAAGGGAAAAAGGGCAGTCATCACTGGCTGCTAAGAAACTGAGTCTTTATCCCTGAGGGCTTTAAGGAGGGAGTGATGGAATAAAAAAACACTCTAGAAAGATCCTTCTGGTGGAGTGGTGGTTTTAGTTATGTCCAAAAATTCTGTGCCACCCTTCCCTTCAAAGAATTAGAGTCTAGTTCCTCTCCTAGTGAATGTGGCTGGACTTAGGGATTTGCTTCCCACTCCTGGTGGCAGTGACGATGTGTGACTCCCGCGGCCAGTCCTAAAACGCATTGCAGGGGTGCCTGTGGGGGGCAGTCGGTTAAGCATCTGACTCTTGGTTTCGGCTCAGGTCGTGATTCCAGGTTGCTGAGATGGAGCCCGGCATCGGGCTCCATGCTCAGCACGGAGTCAGCTTGAGATTCTCTCTCCCTCTCCTTCTGCTCCTCTCCACCATGCCCCACCCCCGGCCCCCAAACTCTCTCTCTCTAAAATAAATAAATCTTAAAAAAAAATACCCACAATGCAGCTTCCTCCTTGGCCTCTTGGGTTGCTCTCTGTGGGGGAGGCTGGCTGTCATGTTGTGAGGGCACTCAGGCAGCCACGTGGAGAGGAACCAACTTGCCACTTGGAAGCAGAGCCTCTGGTCCCAGTTAAGCCTTTGGTTGATCCTGGCACCCTAGCCTTTGAGTATTCCAGCCGAGGCCCCAGACATCATGGAACAGAGATGAGCCCTCCCCATTGAGCCCTAAGTTCCTTTGGCCCAATTTCTGTAGCTACAGAAAACCCACCTCCTCAGTGCCCCAGGCTCAGGGTCTGGCTCTCTAGAGACTTAAGTGTGGCACCAGCTGCTGCTTGTTCACTTCCCAGCAGTATGGTCCCTCACCAACGGGATGGCCCCTGGCCCCTAGTTTGGTTCTGAGAAGCCATGGGATCGTCCGAGGGGGTCTGGGGAGTGCGTAACTAGGGGTCACGTGCCCCGTGGCTGTCTGGTTGTCAGCATAGTAGGCTGCACCCCCCACAGGGCTGAGAGGCCTGGCTGGGCCCTTCTCCCCTTTGTCGGGCCAACACTGCCCCCCGAGGATGGACCCTCCCTTTCCGCTGCTTCCACTCGGGATCAGATCTCCCCACATTCTCTCTTTAGAGTGACTTGGCCTTCCACCAGACGTCAGATGTGTGTTGGAGACTTCCGGTCTCCATGGTGACCTGGCACATCTCTGTCTGGTTCCTTGGGTGTTGACGTCAGAACGTCACTCTCTTCATTTCCAAGTTCATTTGGGATAGCTCGCACATGACCACCGGTACTGTGTCTTCCTCTTGCCTCCCTATGCCCCGCCAAACCCCACAGAACACTCCACTGCCTCTGCTCCCACCAGGCCCACGGGGATTTGAACACCAGCCTCACCAGCCCCTGAGAGTTTTCGTCTGTGGATTCGACCTCTCCTGTTGCTTCAACTGTTGTCCAGGAGGTGAGGGGCACATTCTCCAGGTCTTCTCCAGGCTGCCTGGCCCTCCCCTGTGAGGAGTACACCAAGGAACTCTTTTGACTTACCCGAAAGAGGCCGTGGTGGGCACAGGGTCCTCATGAAAAGACAGGAACATTGATCTTTTCCACGTGGAGAACATTGGGACTCAGAGTGGGATGTAAGTGAGGCTCCTGGGCTGATTGGGGGAGAAAAGACAGTTAGTTGGTGGCTGGGGACCGTAAAACACACGTCCTCTCCACCAGGGAAGGGAACTGGAGTCCTTCACTTAACAAATGTTCATTAAGCAGCTACTGCATACGGGGTGCTAGGGACCTAAGGGTACAATGTCCTGTCCTCCAGGAGTGTACGGTCCAATGGATTAGCTAGATGCTACTGAATTAGTCACTAATTAATTGAAAACTGGCATAAATGCTATGAAATAAAGATCCCATGACAGGATGTAACATGGAGTCCTAAACCAGCCTGGTGTGGGGGATGAATGGATATTTATTTTGAGACCTGAGGGTACGCGGGAGGAAACTGGATAAAAGGATGGTGGTGGAGAGGAGGATGTTTGGGTGGAAGGAGCAGCGGGTGCAAAGGCCCTGAGGCAGGAAGAAGCGTGCTGTGGATATGTGTTAGGCCCTGGCGGCTGCTGGGGGAGGGAGGGGCCAGGACTGTGGCAGGGGCAGCGTGGAGGCAGGGGGACAGATTAGCTGGTTCTGCCCGTTCGTCTGGGAGCAGGATGATGGAGGCTGGAGAGGATGAATCCCAGGGGTGTTTAGAGAGGAAAGCTGACATGCCTGGTGTAAGATGCTTCTGAAACTCACAGGTGGGAGTTTAAGTAGCTGTTGGGCTCAGAGTGGGTCCAGAGCTCAGGGGAGAGGCCTGGGCTGGAGGATCCCCAGGGCTTCGAGCCTAAGGAGAAAGGCTGCTGGGGATGAGCAGTTCCAACCCATTTTGGTAGTTGCTGCTCTAGTGTGCTCTCAAGTTCTGAGAGATGTGAGCCTTTCTGCCCAGCGGGGCTCTGCTGACAAAGACTCTCTCCAACCCTCTTCCCTTTCCTCTGTGTGGCTGATCCGTGCACAGCCCAGCTTGGAACCGCCAGGCGTCCACACCTGCGGATGTTTTCCAGTAAATACGGTCCGTCCTGTAAATGTACTTTCTCTTCCTGATGCTGTTCTCCCTTTACTGTAAGAAGATACTATATAATACATATAACATACAACATCTGTGTTAACCGGCTGTTTATGTTACCAGGAAGGTTTCGGGTCCGTGGTAGGCTATCAGCAGTTAAGTTTGGGGGAAGTAAAAAATGAGATGCAGATTTATGACGGGGAGGGGTGTCGGGACCCCTAACCCCCGCTTTGTTCAAGGATCCGCTGTACCCTATCCGGAGAGGGAAGCATCAGCTGTGGGCTTGCCTTGCAGAGGAGGTGGGGTGCGGAGACTCCTCCAAGTGCCATTACCGACCAGACCTGGGGGTGGGGGCTTAGACCCCTGCCTTCTGGTCCAGACCTCGAGCTCGCTCACCCATCTCACGGGACTTCTTGCTCCTGTTCCCCCCATCTCATGGGGCCTCTTGCTCCTGTCCGGGAAGGGGGTGAATAGCTGGGTGCCTGGGTGCACGTGCGTGTGGATGCGTGTAGCCATGGGTCTGCCCAACCCCAGGTTCCAGCCACTTAAGTGAGATCAGCCTGTGCAAAGATCAGGCACACAGGCTTCTAGAAGCCAGCTCTCCGAATTTAGTTGTGGGAGTGGAGGTAAGGCAGCGGACAATTCAGAAAATAGGAGAGCACATTAGAAAAAGAAGAGACTGAGTTGGTAAGCAGGAAATGAGGCAGAAGATAGTTAATTAACATCTGGAAAAGGTTTAGCCGAACCCCTAAGCTGAGCTGAGGTCAGGATTTGGAACTTGGAGCAACAGGGAGCAACAGGGAGCAAAGTGCTGCTGATCCTTCAGGGAGTGGGATCTGGGGAAAGAAAGAAAGACCTCCTAGATTGCCTTTTTGGGAGGCCCTCCCGGCACCTCAGAAGAAAATTCAGCTGGAGGTCAGAGGTCTTGTGTTCGAATCATTCATTCCTCCGTGCTGCTTACTGAGAAAGAGCAAGGGGACCTTCCTCTGCCCCGTGGGGTTCCCTCTCCTGCTGAGGGACCTCAGCCTGCCCGCAGGCCTTTCTTTTCCATGGGGACAGTGGCAGGTGCACAGGGGACTCGGGGCCTCCCGCTCCGACGCCCCGGGGAGTGCCCAGTGTTTCCTCAGTGCCCTCCCTTGTGCCTGCCTGCTGGGGTGTTCCTGGATCTGGCTGGCAGATCCTAATTGCTGGTTAATGGCTGTAAATATTGATCTCATTTTCAAAACAAAGCCCAGGGCTTCTCTTTCTCCAGCAGTCCGGAGAGAGGGATTTCAAGTCCAGAGAAGCTGGGAGTGTGGAGAGATGCGTGTTGTTTCTCTGCCTTTGCTTTGGAGGTGCCCAGCCCAGGGGAGTATGGGAGCTGCCGGCTGCTCCCCTCCCTGCAGCCTCCCAGCCCGGGGGACCTCACCAGGGGCTCCGCACGCCTGCTCCGCATGGACTTGGCCAGCAGGAGCCCCGGCAGGGCACGGAGGGAGAGCATGAAGATGGTGCATCAGCTCCCATTTCCCTGCCTTGGGGCCTCCAGGGTCCTTTCCATCTCCCTGGCCAGGATTCTGGAAAGGACCACCTCAACCACCTCATTTTGCTCAGTTCTCAGGGAGGGAGTGGGGGACCGCTGCTAGGGCTTTGGCTACGCTCTGTAAATAGACCCCCTGTCAGAAATCTCTCCATATTGCCCGGTGTGAATGTGCCTTCTCTGTCCTCCTGGGACCCTGTGGCATACACCCAGGGATTATAAAATCTGGTGTCAGAGAGGGATTGGAAGGAATGTGGCAGGGAGCATGGCTTGGGGGGCACGTTAGCACGGGGAGTGGGGTGACCAGGAGTGCGGCACTCTCTGTCACCCTGAAGGAATACCCTTGTCCCCCGCCTCCCCTGGACCTCATGATGTCCTGGTCAGTCCCTGCCCGCAGAGCTGGAGCAGTGCTGGGAGATGGGGTGACTCTGCAGCTGGGTTTCCCCCTCGTGCCTCAAACTCATGCTTCACAAGGAGCATCCAATGTCCTCATTCACTTGTTCTCCATCAGCCTCAGAACCCTGGCCAAGAAGACGCGCTTCAGAAATATTTCCCTTCGTTGAATCACATGAATACTGGCTGTCCCAGCCGCCAGAAGTAAATGCCACTTGGGTCTCAGAGGGAGCCCATTCTGGTTTCCCAGGAACCCGTGTCTGAGGGGCTCTGAGGCTGGGGCCGCCATGAAGCGCACAGCGTCCCTTTCTCCAGGGCCAACCTTCCCCTTGTCTGGAGCCCCCAACCTTGTAGCCACCTCTGGGCAGCATTCTTTGGCAGCGAAGGTTGTGGGCTGGACGGTAGAGAACTCTGTAGTGTGTGCTCACCCCTCCCCACGGGACCGGACGGGGCCGGTGGCTTCAACACCTGTCTGGGATTTGTACCCCGCTTTCAACAAAGAGGGCGGACCCAGTGCCTGAGTCTAGCCAGACTTGAAGAGCTTGTGGTCCATTGTATTTATTTTCTGCAGGTTGTTTTTATGACAGATGATACTCAGTTTCCATTTAATAAAGTTGGTGATAAGAAGTCACGGGTCAAAAGTAGGTCTCTTAGAGAAGCAGCTGCGTTAGGTGGCTTAGATATGGCAGAGACTGCAAGCCGAATGACCGAATTTGGGAAAACAACCCCAAAGCACCTAGCTAGAAAGGGGTGGTGCACGCCAGGGGGCCCTGCCTGGCAGCTGGTCTTGTGGGATCAGAAGTCGGACCTGGAATTGGGTCCCTCTCCACTGGGCTTGTTATCTGGGGGTTGGTATAAAAATAGCCCTCACCTCCTAGGGCCGTGGCGAGCACTGGATGAGTCAGGATGTGTAAATAAACGTACACAGCACGTGGGCAATGTGTTTCAGAACCTGAGCTGAACTTCCTGCCCCAGCAAGAGGGCTGGTCTGCTTCAGCCATGCCATGGGGTGTGGGATGTAGGCGACCCTTCCATGTGGCTTGCTCTCCCACTCACAGACCCAGACTCGGTTTTCAGACGCTGATTCCTCAGCTGGATGGAGAGAGATGAGTGTGTCACTGGGACGTGACCCGTCCTTGGATCCAGGGAAACCGTGAGACCGTAGTTCTAGTTTCTACGTGAGTGTGGGTGTTCTCCTTTTGCCTTGTGTGTGTGTGTGTGTGTGGTGTGATATGTGTATGGTGTGTATGTGTGTGGTGTGTATGTGTGATTGTGTGCTATGTGTGTGGTGTGTGATGTATATGTGTATGGTGTGTATTGTGTGGTGTGTGTGGGGGTGTGGCTGGTGTCTGTGGTGTGTTTGTGTGGCCATCTACCCCATTATATTCAGTATCCCAAGAGGGAAGAGCCCTGCCTCCATCTTCCCGCTTTCCGCTGTGCCTGCACCGATTGGCATGTCCCAGTCTCTTGAAAAAACACTTGCTCCTTGAATAAGTGGAATCTCTCAGACCACCCAGGAATCTGGAGTCAAGGCCAGGGCCAGAAAGAACAGAGGGCTCTTGAGTCACATCGTAGAGCCCTCTCCTGGACACCTCCCCAGAACAGATGCTTTCCTCTAAAGTCTGATTACCATAAGTACCAATAAGGGTGCTGTATATAACCAGTCACCAGGGAATAGTCTGGGCCACAGTAAACACTGGGGGAGAGGGGAGGAGGTGGGCCTCTGCGCCTTATTGGCCTCAGCAGCCGGGGGGGGAAGCGTGTGCGGCCTGGGCACACAGTTTCCAAGGGACCCTTCTCTCCCCTGCCCTGAAAAAGGTCAAAGCCGTCTCTGGGGAAGGATGGGGTTCTGGGAAGTCAACCCCCATTCTAGGAACTCCTGGAGAGTAGAATCAGAAGACCCAATTCCATCACGTGGGCCCCTCTGACATTTGCACACTCTACGGGCCTGCAATGTTTTGGAAACATTTACAGAGAAGGCAAGAGAAGCCAGTGCGCTCTGCAGCAGAGGGGAGCGCTCCCTTGCCCGACTCGGCACTCTGCTCACCCTCGGATGCCCTGGACCTGGTTCAGTCTTTATCTTGTGCTTATTAGGCAGGTTATTCTGTTCAGCA